TGACCACTGTGGAGTTAAACTCCGATGAGCAGGCATGCTTTTCTACGTTAATTTCATGATGCAAAGGGCAATAACGACAACGATGTGATTTGTTGCCATCAAATTCTACTAATGATTGATTAAAAATGACGTCAATGATCAGAGTGAAAGATGCAGATGCTAACAACCAAGTAGAACTCAACTAAAGTACAAACTATAGATATGCGGCCTGTACAAATCGTTATCTGTTAACCAAGCCAAAGAGCTGGATCAGTAAACCCCTCATCATAGAGGGCAACTCATTTTGACCCCATAGCAGATTATTTTAACACTCATCTAATTATTGAGAATGGTAACTCAGTTCACAAGCTCTGTAATCTTTTCTTATTTGGTGTTAAGGAGGGGTTAACTCTCCTTAAAGCCTCATTTAACCAGTTGCCAGCAGCACCTCGTCTAAGGCGGCAGGGTTTCCTCTATATGCCAGTAACCCTCTTATCTAATAGTTGTTATTGTTATTTCTGCTCATCCTCTGCTCCATTCAGTATAAAAAAAAAGAGTAGAATGTCTCGGCAGAATTTCTCAGCAGGCACAGCCTGGTAGGTGCGAGGTATTTAAGAATATGAAAGATGCTTATTAGATGTAGTATATTAGATGAATACATGGACGATCCTCTTTTACTATGACATGAAGGGATATGATGTATATAATTCAGGATGAGTCTTTCTATGTGTGGTCATATTGAACACTTTCTAGTGGTCTGCCCCTACTGGATAGCTGGTGCATCAAGGGGACTTTGTAGACTGGTTAATCATTGCCACTCTTGACTGGATACTTGCTGCAACAAGAAGAGAATAACCATTGTATTTTAATACAGCCTATTTAGAAGGAGATGATTATCCCAGTTTATGGATAGGGAAGCACAATATAGTCCAAAGCAAATACAAGAACAACTCATAAAACCACCCAGCACACCCTCAAAGAAAAAAGACCCACAAAGTGTAGTTTAAGAGTTTGGTTCCTTCTCACAGGTTTCACTGGTGTTTAAAAAAAAGAAAGAAAGAAAGAAAGGAAAGGAAAGGAAAACAAAAGAAACCACAAAAAACAAACAGGAAGTACCGCATAGTAGCCAAAACTGGAGCATATATAAGTGATGAGAGCAATTTCAGTTGCTCAAGGTTTAACAAAGTTATCAGTCAACAGAAGGGCCCAAACTTTCTACTTTTATTCTTTCTGGCTTACTTGATGCACATGCTAAATCTTAATTCTTTAGCTGCAGATATTTACAAAAGCAAAAGGACACAAACTATCAGATAAGATTTCCTGGATGCAGATCCACATAATAATTAGAAGAATGTTCAAAAATATTCATCCAAGCCATAAATCAGTTTACCAGTTTTTGTCTTTGTAGATGATGGTTGTACAACAACATGCATGACTATTATCCCTTCAGGAAGTTCACCAAAAGGCGGTCTACACTGGCCAACGGTTTTGTTGTTCTCCAAAATTTTCCCACCGCTTATCAGCTTTACATCATTTGCCACTTTTGGTATTATCTTTTTATCTATGGACAAATAACAGTGGAATTATCAAAACACAGAGTATGGAGTTTCCACACAGTGCAGTTATGAATAATAATTATTTTTATGTTAAACTTAGACTTAATTTTACAGCAAACACAAAACTGCAAAAGATAAATATTAATTATTAAATACATCATACAATTACATCAATTTCCTATCGTATCATAACGATAACAGCCAATTAGGAGAATTCTGCAGTATATGATAAGATCTCTTAATGATGCAGTTAAAGACATTTGTCAACGATAATAAACCGTTAAGCCGCTCCTGCGAAGAATAAACTTTATCTTTATTCCCAGTAAGGAAGCAAGAATTATTTTGCCAAAGGCGCTTTCACATAGAAAGCGGTAATTTCTAAAGTCCAAAGACACTAAACTTATTGACAACGTCACTTGCAGTCATAGATGTAACTTTTCTAAAGTGATACAATCATAAGGATAAGAAAAGGTTAACATGTTTTTTGGATAACCACTAACCTATGTTGCATGGGTGCGGGTACAGTTGTGGGTGCGGCGACAGATACGTGTGCAGATACGGGACACACTAAAAATCTTTATAAAAGATTATGAACATCGCGCACATGGCTATAGTATATATATATATATATATATATATATATATATATATATATATATATATATAGTATAACACATACACACACACACACACACACATATGAAATATAATAACTTTATATGAAACATTCATTCCTTAGAAGTATGGACATGACAATGAGACAGACATATTTACAAAAACAGAAATGTGCCATGTAAGACGGTTCCTTTAAAATTGGGACGAGGCCAACGCAAGATGACAATAAAAAAAGTTTTTTTGGGTGCATATATGCACCAAAAATTAACAGTATTTGCAAATTTACCCCCAACAAATAGGATATTTGCTAATTGATCCCCAAAATCAAATCTCCAATACTGCTTTTGCTCTACCCCTCTTTCAGCACCGCTAATTTCTAATGGAGAGTGTAAAATGTCAAAACACCCACTTATTATGACAGGAACAGTCTTTCCCTCCCTCCTCCCTTAGACTACCCCCACCAGCCCCTTCAATGGCAACAACAACCCCCTTAAATGTCTCCCTTTCTCTACCTGTCTCTCAATCTAAACCCCACAACCTAACAACCTTGTCACCTACTATGGCGGCACCGCCCCCTTCCTCCACCATCTCCTTCTCCCTCCACCCCCCCCCCCCCCCCCTCCACACACACACACAGAAAAAAGGCACAAAAAAATCCCAAGCATCACTGCCTTGCTCCCTTCTCATCTCTCTTTACCTCAAACCCCTAAGTAGCCATACTCGTGTTGCCAGCCGCGAACCACCCCCACAACTAAACTCCACCAACTATTCTCTCTTTCTCTCTCTCTCTATCTAGTTACAATTAATAAAATTAATTAATTTACTCATATTAACAACTATAGGAACAACTAGTGCATGGGTCTCCCACCACTACGGGGTCCGAGGAGGATCAAATGTATGCAGCCTTACCTTTGCATACAGAGGGGCTATTTTCGAGACTTAAAGGACCTTCAGGTTAGAAAACCAACAATCTTACCATTGCACCAAGGCTCACCCTCAATCATACTAACGAACATGAAGGGGATATTCCCTAACAGAAAAATCAAATGGCATAAAAACCTAATGTGAGAGATTTGCAGGTAAATTAGCAAAAAATCTTGATTTGGAGGGTAAATTTTGTAAAAAGGTAAATTTTAGGGTGTATATATTGGAAAAAAACCTAAATAAATATAAATAGTAAAACTGTAAAAGTACAGATATACACATCAATGCTTCCAAAACTCCAATCCATTTTTTAAATGCATTGAGTCATTGACAAATATTTCCGAGTAGTAGTGAAAAGTTAAAAATACAATATATATTGAGGACACAATTGAGAAGTGTCTGACACATGTTTAAGGAGAATCCAATTTACCTTGTGCATGACCACAATCTCCTATGAAAGTTCACTATACATCTTTGAATAGATTACTGTTTCTTGTTTGTGTGAGCATCAAAGCATAAATTACACAGTACAGGTTAGACATATCTACCTACCAAACAGCCATTAAGATTTATATATTAAGGCCCTTTGTTGCAAGTAATTTGGCTAGAAAATTATCACCTACTCTCAGAGGATGTCATCAAGTTAATAGCTTATCGTAATATCTTTGTAAAGCTTTCTTTACTTTAGTATGCTCATAACCAAGCTAGGAAGAAGTCCTTGCAAAGGAAAATATTGACAGGTCATAAAAGCAATTCAGTCCCTCACATGGAATTTGTTCTTCATGGTGTTCCCAAATGAAAATTAAAACAGCCGCAATATTGTAAGCAAAATCCTACTTAAGATGATGGAGTACATGTTCAGCTTATGCACTTCAAAAAAGTGATGCCACCGGCCCACCGCAGTTCTTTCAACTCGTTACCATAGGTAAGACCATATGTAGTAACATGAAAGCATTCTCAAGAGTTGTCATTTCAAATTTGACGCCTTCTTCGACAAGTCACAATCATCCCTCTTCTTCATTATATAGACAATAGAGTTGGATTTCAATCAACACATTCATCGTGGAGAATAAATTGTAGTTGCCGCACGCTTACACATTTATAACTTGAAGGATGAAAATGGATCATATGCCTTACAGGATGATGGAATCTAAGACTTACTAACTCCGACAGTGTACACCAACCTGGTCAGGCCGTCTGAAGCCCGAGCAGTTATAATCAGACCTGATTTTATCCCATCACAGCTCAGCAGTCACAAGAACTGCTAAACTTTGAAAATAGAATTCCAGACGAATTCAACCAGACCACCTAATGCAGCCATCAAAAGGGACAATCTAAGAACTTATCTCGGAATTAACTCGAACGATGGCACTACTAGAAGAATGCAGCAAAATAAACATGGAAAATTCAAGAATTCAAGATGAAACGCAAGAGGAAAACCCCAACCTTTGGGCCACTCGGAGATTACTCTCTCTTTAAGCATGGCAACTGTCGAACTCGACGAATACCCGATCGGCCCGATATCCGATCCATCAAAGAGCCGGAACTTGAGCTCCACCAAATCCTCTTCCGGCATCTGACCTCCAACTCACCAATTATTTACCAAAACGCCAACCGAATCAGCTCTAAGATACCCTCCTTTTCTACTGAATCAGGGTCTCGCTCCACCTCAGCAAGCCCTAGAATCACCAATAGATAAGCCAGAGACAGTAACGGTTAACTTCAAAGACGTAGAAAGGAAAAGGTGGCACCTTTGCGATGGAATTGAGCGAAACAGGGAAGAATTGGGAATTCGGAGGGAGGGCAGGAGACGATGACATCGAAATCATTCAGAGGATCGATGGCAACAAATGGATTGCAGAGAAATTTTTTGTAGGGTTTGGGCTTTATAGTAAAATTTATTTTAAATTCGTTAGTTTACGGCTAGGGTTCAGACGAGAGAAGGGAGAGAGCTTCTCATCGTCCGTTTTCAAAGAGGAACAACTGACACGTGGCGTCAGTACGGCGGAGCAAAAGGAAAGAAAGCTTATAGGTACCGGCAGAACGGAGACCCACCCGAACATGACTAAATGGGACCGACTTCACTTATCTGAAGTACAATTATGGGTGTCGAGGCAGAGAGGCCGGCGATAGTGCGTGTAATTTCTAAAGTGCGCCGGGTTCATCCAAAGTCTGCGGCGCCGACGGAGTAAAGGACGTCGTGGATGACGTGAGCGGGGGTTACTATTCTACATTACGCCGCTAACAGTGGACCCCGGTGGGGCTCCACGATCAGTCGCTTTGTGGGTAGGTTTGGAAAGGGTCGCTAGGATTAAGCCCGGGAATCCGCGCTTTCGCGCTGTCCGGTCCGCTGACGTGGAGGGGGGACCCACACACGAAATAAGGTTTTTTAAATCAGGGGCTGTCTCACTGTTTGCCCGAGAAAAATAGGAAATCAAAGAATAGAAAAACTTGTATTATTATTGTTTGGTTGGCTAAAAAAATAAGGAAATAAAAAAATAGGAGATGAAATAAGATGAGTTGTTACCATATTATTGGATGATGTAAGTGATTTTTTAAGAAAACTTATTTTGAGCTTGTTTGGTTGGTTAAAAAAAATAAGAAAATGTATTATAAGAAACATATTTCCTATAATAGGTTCTTTTCTTGTGTTTGGTTCATTCTTAAAAATAAGAAAATAGATGAGATGAGATGAGTTGTCATTATATTATTAGATGATGTGACCCACACTTAAGGAAATCAATTTTCTTGATTTTTTTTGAGGAAATGAATGAAAATAAAATGTTAATGAGATGAGATGAGTTGTTACCATATTATTGGATGATGTGGGTGATTTTTAAAGATGAGATGAGATGAGTTGGATGATGTGACACATTTCTTGTGTTTGATTTATTTTTAAAAGTAAGAAAGGAGATGAGATGTGATGAATTTGTGGATAAAAATAATATTTTATTGATAAAAATGTATAGATTTCCGTTTCTTGGGGTGAGTTTTAGGGATGAAAATGGATAAAAATAATATTTTAATAAAAAAATTACAAAGATTTTCTTTTTTTGAATTTTAGGAAACCAACCAAACAACCTCTTAATAGAAAATCGAGCAATTCTCATTAATAAACGGAATTAAAAAGTACACACTCCCATCTTCAAACTAGCAATTAAAAAAACTCATTTCGATATATAGAATTAGAAACGTGAAGCTCCTGCTAAAGCTAGAGTGCGAGCTACTATATTGTTTGCTCTTCTAATGTAATAAAAAGAAGAGGATTGAAAAGTTTGAGCTATTTGAAAAGCCACATCCATAAAACGCCCATGATGCTTTGCGCAGCTCCCACCCATGTGCAGTTCGAATTGAGATCCTCTACTCATCAATAGTGGCTCCTAACATTTACTAATGCATCTCCGCCTTTCATTTTGTGGGATCATCTTTCATTTTGTTTTGTGCTTATCCACAAAATAAAAGGTGGAGATGCATTAGCAAATGTTAGGAGTCACTATTGATGAGTAGAGGATCCCAATCCGTGCAGCTCATTCACAACTTTGAGTAAGTCAGACTCAGCCTCAATCGCCTCGAGCTCCAAACTTCTTGCTAATTCCAAAGTCCTTAGTGTAGCCGTAGCCTCTAACAATCATGATGAGCGAAACCCTTGCTTTCTCAGACAAAGAAAACATAAATTTCCCTCTATAATCTCCCACAAACAATCCATTAGGCCCACAACTAATGCTCTTGATTGAGCGCTACATCGTAATTGATTTTCTTAACTCCAGATGGTGGCAACTTCTAATGAGATTCACCAACAACTACGCTAGTGGCTGGCGGTTGAGTTACTCTCAGAAACTCGTCGACAAAGTCCAAGGCTTGTTGAGCGATTCAGTTTGGACTCTTTCTCTGCTCTCCGACCCTAACACCGTCTCGATTTAGCCACATCCCCACATAACTGCAAACAGCCTCTCAGTATCAAGAGGTTCACTCAATAGGGGCACTTGTTGCAACCAATCAACTAGTTCAAAATGTGTTAGCTTCTATACCTCCACAGATAGCCGAGTTTCCATCCACACTTGTTGTGAAAATTCACACCCAATCATAATGTGATATAATGATTCCACCTAAGTGTTGTTGCAAAGAAAGAAACCAAAGTTCCCACTAATCCCATTAAATAAGGGTCTTTAGACGTTAGTTACTTAAATCATAGCTAAATCTTTATATCTTGATACTAGTCTCCCAAATCTTTAAATTTTGATATTAGTATCCCCAGATTCTATTAGGGGCTATTTTTGGTTCGTTGATTGTATATTGATGCGAGTAAGGAATAAAAAAATTCTTATTAGAAACCTTGTTTGGCTATAATTGATATTAAAGAGGATTTTCATAATGAATAAAATCTAGGGAAAATTGTGTCTAGGCCCCAAAATTGTAAAGGGGATGCGTGGAGGCCCCTTGTATTTTTTTTTCGTGCCAAAGTCCCAAATACCAAACGTTCTTGTGTTTTAGCCCCTTTTATGTTTCCCAGACCGAACTGAGAGCAGAAAAAACCGAAATCCCAAAAATACCCCTTGCAGTTTCCCCCCAAAATCGGCCTGGCTTCTCCCTATTCTTCTTCGCTCTCCTCAAACCAAACCTCTTCTCATCTCGAGAACCCATTTTTAAAACCCAAATTCCCTCAATCTCCCAGGAAAACAAGAAAGGAAAATGGCCAAAAAAATGTTAAGGAAAACGGGCCAGAAGGCTGAGGAAGAGAAGGGGGAAGGAGTCGACACCCAAAACGCAGGGCGTCGTCACCTGCGGCGGTCGGCGCGATTGACGAAGGAGGAAACTCCAAAATTGGTCGCCTTAGCCTCCGCCGACGCCGTCATACCTCCGGCCTGTGGTTCTCCTCCGACATCCTCCTCCGACGAGGAGAGTAATGAGGCGTCGGAAACCCTATTGAGCATGAAAAGGGGGCTGGAAAAGCGAGAGTGGAAGAGGAGACGCTCGCCGAAAAAAAGAGTTCACTTCAAAGAAGAAGTAAGTTGCCAAGCAATTTCCCCACTTTGAATTTAATTAATTTAATTGTGTGATTTGAATTTAAATGAGGTTGATGGGTTCTCTTTATGCGAAAATATTGGTCAGAAACTGGTTAGTGTTGTGTAGATCCTTACTTTTGGAGTATGATCTGTGCAATAGGAAATATAAGTGTTCGGAAGAAATGCATGCCAATAATTCACGTAGTTGTTGGTTAGTGGCTCTGCATGTCAATAATTCTCGTTTGGTGTCGACGTTTTCCCTTAGGTGTCAACTATTAGCTATTCATGTTAATAAATATTAACTTTTAATAAGTAAATGGTTGTATTGTTAACTGTCTCCTAATCCAAATCAACGTCTTGTTGTTTATGCAGTAAACGTGATGCTGTAGGTGATATCAGGCCTAGTGCACGTTTTGGATCGTATTGTATATTCATGCATAAACTTCATTCAAAAATGAAGAATTGGCATTGGGATGCCTTAAAGGGCACTAACTTTGAACACTATGTGTTCTTCGGCCCTCCTGCCCGAGATCGACATGCACTGGAGCATGTGCTCAGTCACTACGATGCTGAAACTGATGAATTCTCTTTTCCCGATCCCCGAATAGGGTCTCTAATTTCAGTCAAATTTGATGAAGAGTGGGTGCAAACTCACACGGCTTTCCTATTGATGGGGAGTTGATCTATGGGAATAGAGACTCTCACAACCGGCTTTAGAGGGAGTACTTTGAAGATAAGAAAGAAATGTTCAAGGACAAGGAGAAGGCAAAGGCCAGGGCTACAGAAGAACCTGGTAGCATGAGGAAATATGTTGAAGAGTTACTGGAAACACTTGTTGAGTCAAGTGACGATAAGGACGTTGAGGATTTTGTTCTTCTTCAAATATTGTACCAGTGTTCAATGATTTGGTGTCCGAACAGCTCGCAAGGCATTCCAAGATTGTTGTTTCAATATGTAGATAGCATTGAGAGAGTAAAGAACATTGCGTGGGGTAAATTTATTTTTGATGAGACGAAGAGAGGCATTCACATTGCCGTTGAAGGGTTGAGGAAGCCAGGGGTTACGTACGTCCCTGGATGCATGCCGCTCATCCCTGTAAGTTGCATGTTCATATGTGGTTTAACATTTGTTTTGCATTGAAAGAGTTTTGGCTACCGATATTAGATAATGTAACTTATGCAATTTTGAATGTTAACCAGTGTTGGTGAAAATTAACATGTTAAATTAAAAGTTAACATGGACACCTCAAAGTTAACATGTTTAAGTGAAATATAACCAATACTGATAAAAGTTAACTTTTTATAGTGAAAGTTAGCTACGAAGAAATGAAGTTGCATAAGGAGTTTTGATGTGCAGGGAATTAATGATAAATAATTGTTGCCTCTATTTTGGCAGCTATGGTTCTACGAGATGACAGGCATTAGAAAACCTGCCCTAAACATCAGATGGAAGCCGCCGTTGACCAACTGGGTAAGGGTCGGAGGGACGGCTGGATCGATGAGGAGGGAGACAATTGTCTCCAAGGCAGAAAAAGCAACCATTAAGATTAAGGATAAACCTGAATCAACCAATTTGGGGGGGGATACCCTCAAAGAGAGCCCTCTTGGAAGAATATTAGTAGCGCTCGCCTTGGGAAGAAAAGGATCCCTGCGAGATCAGATAATAGTAAAGCTATGGTGGTTTCATTGCAGAGAGTGAAGGAGAAGAAAGAAAACGTAAAGGATGAGAAGCAAGCGAGGGTGAAGGGCAGACAAAATAGCTCATCCCTAGGATACGTAAGCGTCAATAATCTTTTACTGATTTGCTAGCATATTTATGATGGTTGAATTTTGTAACTTACTGGTTATTTTTCCAGATTGTCTCCCAGCATATCAAGAACGCGCTTGACAAAGAAGATGAAATAGAGAAGTTGAGCCTTGATCAGCAAATTCAGTTCTGGAGGAATACGACCAAATTAAACATGAAATTGCTCCATGCCACAAAGCGTAGTAAGCGCCTTCAATGGGATGCTTGTTCTAAGGAGATACATAGGCTGAACCGGAAATTGGAGTTTTACGAAGGAACTGCTGACCTGATTGATCCCCAGGACCTGAAGAAAAGTGTGGAGGAGATTATGTCCAAGAGTGACAGGCATACAAGGGCTGCACATGTGAAGAGGAAAAGAAGTGTTGACAGCATTGGCAAGGGTAACGATGTCGATTGTTTTGATTATGACGACGTGCGCATTATTGGTAAGGAAGCCTCGCATATTACGTAGGGTGTAGCACAAGCTGAGCAGGAGGGAGACAGTGTTGGCCAAGACGATGATGAAGAGACTGGAGGGGAATATAAAGAGGAAGAGATGGAAGACAGAGAGCATGAGGAGAAAGAGGAAGATAGAGAGCAAGCACTGAGTGAGGGAGATAGAGAGCAAGAGAATAGAGAGGAGGATAGAGAGCAAGTAGTAGTAGAACAGGAAGATAGCTTGCAGGAGAATAAACTTGTAGATTCATCGGCATCTGAGAAAGTGGAAGTTAGAGAGGAGTACTTTGAAGTGGAAGTTAGAGAGCAGGAGATGAAAGTACATGAGAAAGAGGAAGAACTAGCGCAGATGTTTGAAGAAGAGAAGGAAGAAGAGAAGGGCAGTGCGGAGAAAGTAGAGGAGATGGGTATGGGGGAGAAGAACTCATTACAAGTTTATCGAAAGTGGTCGAAGAAAGTTGTTTCGAAGGGAACAAGGGGACCAAGTACCAGAATCAGGACTCGTTCTTAGCTAATCCGAACCCCTTTCACTGACGAAAAGAAGAAGATAGCCCAACCAGAATTAATTACAATTTCACATCACAAGGAGGATGTTAGGGAAAAAATCAGGTACTACTGCAAGCCTAGTGAATGCACGTGGGATTTTCAAAAAACCAAAAAAATCAAGAAGAAGGAGGAGGCTCTGTTGAAGGTGCTGAACGAGGGGATTCCTTTTGTTCATGATTTTAGCATACTCCTGGTTGATAGCGCATGAACCTTTGTTCACAACTTTAGAATACCCCATCATGTAGCGGCAAAGCTCACTCTAGAGGAGAACAGATAGGTCTCAGAGTTTTGCAATCAGAAAGCTCATGAGTAAGTTCAATCCATGCAAACTCTTTAATTCTATTTGCATGTTCATGTTAAAAGAAACATGTTAACTTATGCTCATTGATGTTAACTTATGCTATAACATGTTATTGTTCATTGTTATATGTTAAATTTTCCAGAATCAGGCTAACGTTTTACCATTTATGTTAATCTCTGTATCTTTCTGTCATATATCAGGTCATGTATTGTTTTAAATAACGTCAAACAGTAGTATTGATTCTATGGAGCTTCTCAACCTACTACGAGGGGGACGTATTGACGACCATGCAAGTTTAATTGCCTCACTTATGCAATTTTTCCTCACAATCTGACAGGGTTGTTATGCAATCTAATGTGTGTCTTATGTATGTTCCATTTTCAGTTGATGGAAGCTTTGATCGATAGAATAAGCTCATAGCTGGATAGGCCAGAAACAGTTCCCCTGAGCCATAAGTATAGGATTGTATCAGTCTTCTTCTGCGTAAGCTATCTACTTTACGATACTATGATTCTTTAACACGTGTTTACTCCCGTCATAACATTCCATTATACTTGGATTATACAGCACAGCCTTTATGCAAACACTCCTGATTTCCCACACATATATACTTCATTTATACAAAAGCATATTGCTGCGAGGAAGAGTGTACTCCTTATCCCGCTTGTGCATCAGGACCATTGGCATCTTGCTGAAGTCAGGTTGGATGAGGACGTTGTCAAGCATTACAGCTCAGCTACCCACGATGCATATATTGAACCGGTGAATAAAGTAATTGGCTTCATGGACCATATGAAGGCTGGTTTTGATCCAGACAGTGTTTGGAGGAAGTTTAGATATGAGGGCATCTCTTGCGAGCAACAATCTGGAATGTTAGTAATTAACATACTTGAATTTAATTCTATTGCATCCCACAACACATATCTAACAGAACTGTTATTGCACTCTTTAATTGCAGTTTTGATTGTGGGCTTTTCATTCCCTTATACATGAAGGCTATAATCAATGGGAATGATGCGATTCAGGTAAGTAATCCCGGAGACAATTCGGCCGTCTTGCGTGCCAGGCTTGCAGCCAAACTTCTTGAGGAAGGATGGGAACAGAGACATCAAGCGGAGATTGAAGCACATGGTGGGTGAAAGACGATTCTAACATTATGATGTAATTGAAATGGATTGTTATGGATATGTCTGATACTACCTGCTTGACATGCACTCTTTAATTTTGCTGTAAGCTAGTCAGTTTACGAAGGAGGTTAACTAGATTGGACAAAAGTTAACCACTTTCAGCAAAAGTTAACCAGTTACAACAAAAGTTAACCAGTATAGGCGAAAGTTAACCAATTTTAGAAAAAGTTAACCAGATTCAGTAAACGTTAACCAGCTTCGCTGGAAGTTAACCAGCGCCAGAAATAGTTAACCAGTTATAAAGAAAGTTAAACCTGTCGCTCTAAACCAAATTGTGCAAAATTTAACATGTCAACCGCTCAGCTACCCACTTTGGATTAGATCAAACAGCTCTGAAAGCTAACCAATTCAGGGAAAACTTTACAAATCGATAGCCAATAAACTAATAAAGCGAAGAGCGATTTTTAGACGATGCAGTGTTCCGCTATGAACTGCACATATATCAGTTCATTTTCAGCTTGCATATCACAATGTTTAAGCAAATTAGAACAACACAAAAACAACATAGAAAGCACGAACAGGTTTTCCATTTTTCAACTTCACGCTTAGACTGCTTCAATGCTTTCTTCAAGTATTTTACCTTGGCTGCTATCTCATCTTCAGCGGGTGCTTCTTGGTGAACAGCCACGTTCTCCTTTTTTGCATTGACATTGTCAGCCCAAGCAAAAAACTCACATCGCCTATTTGGGAAATTTGCACATCCCCAGAAATATCTACCTTTGTTGCTCCCGTTTTTGCATAGCTTGAGGGGGGTTGGAAGCTTGCAGAAACAACATGGCTCTTCTACTAATTGAGAGGCATCCTCGGTCTTCATCTTAGTCTCTAAATGAGCTATAAAGGGAGGGAGGGAACAAGAGATATGGTTTTACTTGAGCCTTGCATAACATTATATAAAGCAAATCCATCAAGTAGATAGCCGTTGGAATATGTCTGTTGGAACAGTATACCAACTAGTCGTTGGAATATGTCACGTAGATTTGAGACCTGACAGCAATTTAACCTCAAACAGTGGGCCTTTATGATAACAGATTCAGCTAAAAGTAGTAGTAGTATAGAGATAGTTATATGTTAACATGTTTAAGTACAAAATTCAAAACCTCCTGCTGTCTGGAAGCAGAGCACAAAAATCTCCCATTAGTATAATGGAAACTTAAAGACAACTTATATTTCACTAGCACCATTCTTCCTCTTCATAAGCATGACACACTAATCATGGATGGGCTCGTTACAAGTTGCTCGGTTGTGCCCTTCGCTCTTGCATCGACCACATTTGACAGGACGTTTCAAGATGGTTCTGTTGTTTATGCGTCTTGTTCTATTTCTTCCCCTCCTCTTCGTGGTAATTGGTGGCAAAATCTGGATTTCATCCTTGGGCACACTACGCATCTCATAATCTGGTATGGGATATAATATTTCATCGTAGCTCTTCTTAAACTCCTCTACGGACATGAACCAGTCACAATACTGATATACCTCTCTTTTCATATAAATGATGACTGCACAAGCATGCACACAAGGAATACGAGTTACGTCCTAAGCACGGCAAGTGCATGTCTTCTTCCCCAAGTCAACGTGAGTGGTTCTCTGTGATTGCACTTCGAATATATCATCTCTAGATTGCTTAATCTCTAACGTAGATCCTCTTTCCATATGTTCTCCAACAATCTGCTCAGCTTTAGGATAAAGATAGCTTGTCCACTTTTCAGCCATTATGCGTCTGTTGTTCATGCGAGTCATAATTTGCTTGTGGATATGCTCCACCATTTGCAGGATACGCAGCATCCGAGCTTCACGTATCCAGCTGTTAAAGGATTCTGCAACGTTAGAGGTTACATGACCATATCTGCAAACATCAAAATAAAACAAAGTCTCATTCAGCATCCAATATATAATAAGATTAACACGCAACCACCAAACTTTCCCTTTAGTAGGAAAAGTTAACATAATAACATGAAAGTTAACATATAGTGATAAACGATAACATATATCACCGATAGTTAACCTGCAAAAGGGGATATTAACTAGAAATGATTGAGGGCAGTACCTAATGCCAGGGAAGAAGGCATTCGCCCAATGCTCTGGCGAGTAGTTATTTACAATCTCATATGCAGCTGGAGACATCTCATATATATCCTTCATGTAGCCGTTCCATTCCGCAACAGTGTATTTATAGCAAGCTGATTGGAGCAAATTCCCCAAAACATGTGTGTCCTTTGCTTTCATTCCCAAATCCTTTAGCTTAGATCTAAAATTTTCAACCAGGTGCAGAACACATCTTGAGTGAATTGCTTCAGGAAAATATTCTCTTACCGCTTCTTGGATTCCCTTGTCGGCATCAAAAATAATAACCAGTTGATGGGGAGGATTGTATGGGTCTGGCCTTTCGTACAGTATAGACCACAAGCCTTGTAGGAACCAGCTCCAATTATCAACGTTTTCCTGATCACATATGCAATTACAGTATAGACCACAAGCCTTGTAGGAACCAGCTCCAATTATCAACGTTTTCCTGATCACATATGCAATACGCAAGTGGAAATATCCCTTGGTAACCAGCTCCAATTATCAACGTTTTCCTGATCACATATGCAATACGCAAGTGGAAATATCCCTTGGTCTACATCATATGCTACAGCGCTCAGGAGCAGGCCTTTGTATATATCTTTTAAGAAGGTCCCATCCAAAAATAATAGAGGTCTACACCCTTTTAAGAAACCAACGATGCAAGCAGAATAACATATAAACAGTCTTTTGAACCTTCCTTCATTCTGGTCAATGCAAATGTAGCTTCCTGGATTTGTTTCCTTCACCTTTTGCTCATACCTGTACAACAGTGTGACCACATTACACGTAAATGTAATACATTGGAACATAAGGGTAATGTATATTGACGTGTAAGAGCTGACAATTTTCCATAAAACATAACAGTAGCTGAAATATAAATTTATGAAAATAAATATGGAAACATCTAAGGAAATATATTGCACGATAAATTTATACATTTAAACAGATAACTATAAAATTTACCATCTTAATTGATCGTAAGACTCATAACTATCACCATACATAGCCTCCTGCGCTCTTTCTTTGCCCCACCATATCTTACTGTATTCAAGTCTCAATCCATATCGAGTGAGGAACTCCTTTTGCACATCCTTTGGGCGGATTTCAGGTCGAACCTTTAAGACAGGTCACAATTGTTCTGCTACGAATCTACGAGATGCCCATGATTGCCCTGACAAGCTAGTATGTTGTCCGTAACTATGTTCATTCACAAACCTTTTGATTTCAATTCTTTTTTCATTTTTTACAGGGGATGCAAACAGCATCCAAGGGCAACCATACGTCTCCTTATATCGACAAATAACTCGGATACGTTTAGGTTCATTCTTTACAAAGTCGTAGTCAAACTTTTTCTCTATGGAATAGTATTGCAACGTTAGTCTTAAATCTATAGCAGTTTCAAATTGTTGGCCCTTTCCAGTTAATGCTGTGTGCCAACAGTCTGGAATACTGTAAGTTTTACTGATAATATCATCAGCTCTCACTACGTTCTCACCAGACGGGCAATCAGTTGAGATTCTCTCTGAATTGGAAGCATTTCCGCCAGAAGGGGGATGACAATATTCTTCATTCAAAGAGGCATCACTGCTGCAAAAATTAATCAGCCAGTGATATAAACTTTACACTAGAGTATAAAACTATCTTATAATGTTTAAAACAAACCATTTTCGTATGAATTAATTAAAGAGCAGTGGAATTTAACAGACAATTTACATAGATAACTTGTTACGCTGAAAGTTAACATGCTCACATGAAAGTTAACATACTCACATGAAAGTTAACATGCTCACATGAAAGTTAACATGTTCAATTGAAGATTAACATATATCATCAAAACATAACATGAAACTAGCTGAGTTAACGTATAAATTTCGAAGATGACATCTATGTTTTTCTACTGCGCAGCGAAACCTGAAATCACAATTTTTACATCACACAATCCCAATTTGAGCCAAAGTTCATTGTTTACATATAAATCAGTAATAACTTTGTACTTCCTTTAAGAAGTAGGACACTCTATGTTATCAAAAACTTGCATCTGAATCTCCGTACAACAAGTGAAAATCCTTTAGATCAAACATGCACTTCATGATAGGAAGAATATAGCAATAACGTCACACGACACCGTGCACGTCGAGCAATTGGAAACCGTTGGGGGTTGTTGACAGTTATGACGATAATTAATTTGTTAACTTGAAGGGATTCAAAGCTCATAACGGGATTCCAAAAGATGAAGTTAAAAAACACTTAAAATGTTATGCGGCTTTGCCTTAAAGCCTGGAATCAGTATGTTCACGTCACACAAAGCTAAATGTTATAAAGAGTCATTAATTACTTACATTCCACCAATAACTTTCTGGTTTATTTCAGAACTGGAACACTCTTTATTAACAGCACTATTAACAACAGCGAGCATGTGAATCTCTGTACAACCGACATTTCGATTGTACTCCAACATGCACTTCAAGTCATCTTCGTTGTCAATCGAAAAAGTCAAGTTGGGGTGGGTGCCTCTCGGATTTATATACCAAGGATAAAGCTTCTTCAGGTACTTTCATTCTTTCAGCCACATCAAATTTCAGTTCATAAAACCGTGTTGTCGAGCAGAGCTTCATAAATATGGACTTCTCGCCTAAAGACACCATACAAATCAATTCATCGGGAGCCATTGGGAGTGGTTGAGAGTTATGAAGATAGTTATGAGGAGTAATGGAGGGGATTTAAAGCTCAGAATGGTTGTTGACAGATGAAGGGGAAAAACCCTGATTTCATAAATGGGAGAATGAAGCAAAAATTACCCGATTTTATATCCCATTAATAAGGAGCTGAAGCGGACCAGTAATGGAGGGAACCCGCCTTTTTTTCCCCCGCTTTCCGCCGTCTCTTCGCCTTAATTGCGATGGGAGAGATCGACGATCATTGATGGCTGCCTGTAGCCGGTTCCCAGTGAGAGACGAGGGCATTTCGGGTCTTTTTGCCTAAATACGCCGAGCATACGTATAAAAGAGGGCTAAATGGGCTGGAGCACGCGAAAAACGGATTTTTGGGGCGGCAGCCCAAGGGGAATTAATTCGTGGGCTGGGCCACTTCCAGGACGCGATTTTGGGGCCTGGACACAATTTTCCCTAAAATCTAACCAATTTTGTTTAGTTGTACATGGATTTGGTTTAGGAAATGTGACAAAATTCATAAAATTGGTTGAAATTGGCATATTTTGGGTAATTGTTTTTTATGCATCTATCTAGGCGGCAACCCCAAATTCGAGATATGATAAATGCTAACGAACATTGTATTTGATAGAATTCGAGGATTTTAAACTTACAGGTTGCATTTTTAAGTGCAAAATCCACCAAATATATGAAAACAAGTGTTGTTATTAGCTCCTTATGCTAAATTTAGTACCAACAATAAATGTGAATTTACTACAATTAACTAAAGTTTAATTCATTCAGCCAAAAATATCGTTCCCGCCTCTATGCTTGAGAAAAGTTTTTTTTTTTCTATTTTTGCCCTCTTTGTGATCTCACCTCTAAATAGTCAAGAACATCTCAAAATCAAGTTCAATCCCTCATTGCAGACTAAAGAGGAAGAAAACCACATGATCTGGGTGACGTAAAGTGCATTAAAGCAACCGTGAAGGTAAATTTTGGAGTTGCTGAGGTGGGAGGGGGGATGATTGAGAAAGAGGAAACAACTATGGATTTTGGGAGTTTCCTAACAAGTTAGGTTTTTTATGCATCTATCTAGGCAGCAACCTCAAATTCGGGATGTGATAAATGCTAACGAACATTATATTTGATAGATTTCAAGGATTTTAAACTTACAAGTTGCAATTTTTAAGTGCAAAATCCACCAAATATATGAAAACAAGCGTTGTTATTAGCTCCTTATGCTAGATTTAGTACCAACAATAAATGTGAATTTCCTATACAATTAAATAAAGTTTAATTCACCCACCCAAAATGTCGTTCCCGCCTCTCTCTATATTTTCTCTCCTATTCTCTCTCCATGCCTGAGAATTTTTTTTTCTTTTTTTTTGCCCTCTTTGTGATCTCGCCTCTAAAATAGTCAAGAACACCTCAAAATCAAGTTCAATCCCTCATTGCAGACTAAAGAGGAAGAAAACCACGGATCTGGGTGATGTAAAGTGCATTAAAGAAACTGTGAAGGTAAATTTTGGAGTTTCTGAGGTAGGGGGTGATGGAGAAAGAGGAAACAACTATGGATTTTAGGAGGTTCCTAACAAGTTAGGTTTAATTAGGCTTGGATTTGTGATAGTCATAACTGTTCAGTAAATACAATTAGTGGTTAAAGAAAACATAATATTTAAGGGAATTTGAGGGACTAATATTAAAATTATGAAGATTTGGAGGGTTAATAGCAAAATAACCATAATATATGTGAAGAATGTCTGAAAAAAAACTAATGAAATAACCTTGGGATATGTTTGATTTAGTTTGGTATAGTACTCTATTCCCATGTCTGCACATCTATTCCTCTATAATAACGGAAGGACCTAAGAATCACTATTCATGATATAGTAAATAATAAAATACATTGCTGTAGTGTTTTAAAGAACTGTTATCGCGGTATAGGTGGGGGCACTGTAGCATTATAAAAAATTACTGTAGCATTTTAAAAAATATATCATTGCAACAGATGTGAGATACTGTACCATTTTAAAAAAACATTATTGCAACATTTAAAAAAATTACTGTAGCATTTAAAAAATATATTGTAGCAATTAAAAACGAGATTACCGTAGCGATAAAAAAGGGAAGGCTGTGCTTTGCACGGGGCGCACACTAGTTGTATATATACTACTATATGAAAAACCAACCGAACAAGGGCATCTAAAAAATTGAATGAGTGGAAGACATTTATTCTTTAATTGTAATTTGAAAGTAAAATTATAATTTTATAAAGACTATTTTGTATATTGTTTTTATTATTTTTCTTTTCTTTTACTTTCTTCAAAAACATTCTAGACCTCAATGACATCAAAATAATATCGGAGTCCACATATTTGTATTTTAGTTTATAAAAAGACATTAAGAGAAAGCGTTGATTTTTTTAATAAGTAAATATATGTAAATAAAAATGAGTCAAGTTTCTTTACATGTGTCTATCCTGTAAAGTTTCTTTACGTGAATTTATCCTATAAATTTACATTAAAAATGTAAAGAAAATTAGTGAAAGATGCCAAGGTCAAATAATGAAGGCAAATGGCTAAATTTTTTATGGTCGCTCTCTCTGTATTCACTACTCGCTATAAATAAGGGGGGAAAAAATCTTTTTTATATTTTAAAATTTTAATTTAAAACAACATATTTTTCTTATCACTTGCACTTGAATATGCCAAATTTCTAGTAGAAATGGATTCTGATCCTCTACATTATTGAAAAAACAACGAGGAGGCTACAAATTAATCAGAATACACTATTTGTTTCATACGAGGTTTTTGCGAATCTTGTGATTCTTTTTAGAAGAAAACTAAAAATGAATGTAACAAATAGTAAGCCAGGAACGAAACAAATCATCTACTAATCATTGGCTGTCGTGAATATAAAAGTACTGGTCTCCACTATTTCTTTTGGTCGAGAAAATATATATCACCAAGTGGCGCATCAAAAAATTTGTTTGTTTGGTTCTCGTACCCCCAGAACATTCACCTGCCGGGTGGGGTGTGTGTGTGTGCGTGGGGGGGGCGGGGGGGCGGGGGCGGCGGGTTTGCCATATATGCGAGTTGAACTCTAGGGTGTCTCAAAAAATCCTATGAAATTTTTACTTTTCGATCGTACCCTCCTATCTGTAATTGAGAAAATGACCAAAACATTCTTGAGGGAAAGCATTGTACATAATGCTCGCACATTATGTACTTCAACAAAATGACATTCCTCAAAAGATGAATAAACTTACAAGTTCCAACATGTGAAACATTGTGGAATGTTCGAAGAGTTTCAAGACGACATGAAGCATAGGAATCGAGCAGCATTTTAACTTCATTTCTACTTAATTAGGATGCTAATAAAAAAACATCTAATTAAGGTAGATAATTTAGATCCATAATTCACCCTTGGAAGAGTGTTTTACTTTTAAGTGGTTCACAGCTATCAGTAGGCGCAAACCCTACTGGTAGTAAATTAACGCAAATAGAAAAATGTGTAATAATTCTATTGATGACCTTGTTCTTTACATGGGTTCAGTAGGGCATACCGTCCTCTCACGAATTTCTACATGTGCAGATTTTTTAGATTCCCAATTCAAGAACCAGACATAAAGTCGGGGAAGAAAGCGGTCTCTCATCAATCCTCAACAAACTCATCCAAACACGGATACATATTGACTGTGTGATCACTAGTACATCAACAGTTTGATGCCCACCATGGGGCATCTTTCTTTTTTGAGAAAATATGTCAGGTTCTGAACAAAGGTCTGATCAATTTCACATTGTAGAACGACGTCAGAGATACGTTACCCAAGCCCAGCTTGAGGAAATACCTCACAACCTCTCTCAGTCTCTCCAAGAGCAATTTGCTATCTTCACTTGCAAACTTCTCAGCCGGCTTTCACAGCCGCGACGAGTTACCTCAACTCTCCCCCCCTCCTTCAGGAGACTAGAGTTTGGAGACTCATACTCCTACCGGAGCTCAGCGAGTCGTCCAACCTCGGACTCCTCGTGCTGCTGCCAAATAGATGGGGGATCACGTTGAACACGCATCCCCACCACCTCGTCGATCGGCTCGCGCTGACGAGTCTCGTCGACATCACCACCGTTATCAGGACCTCTGGTGAGAGTCCAAGTCCAGGTCATTTTGGGGATCGCACTAGGGGAGTGATCTCTAAAACTCTCCTCCATCATCGTGCCTCTCCTATCCTCTCTACTACCATAAGGACCTCTAGATACGTCTGAGTGTATAGACCGATCGCAGACGCTATCGGGAGCAACACCCCTCTCTCAGACGACCTTATGAATGCTCCATGTGAGAAATTCAAGATGTCTCACATGGAGAAGTACAAAGGCGAGGGAGACCCCTCCGAGCATGTTCAAAATTACTTCAATGTGATGAGCATGCTCCAAGCATCGGAAGCAGTTGTATGTCGATGCTTCCCCATGCCAAACTCTGGTGGAATGCTCTTGAGAAGAAGTCTATCAACAGTTTCCAACAGCTCAGTCGAAAAATCATCCACTACTTTCTGACTGACACCAAGTAGAAGTTGTCCCCTCATGTGTTGATTTAGATGAGGCAGGGGCCCAGTGAAAGCCTCCGAGCCTACTTCAAAAGATTCCAGGCGAAGAGGTTGGAGGTCAACTACCCAAGGAGTGCAGTCGTCATGTCCGCACTCGTTGTCGGCCTGCAGAGCAATGAGTTGGCTGACTCACTTGCTAAGAAGTCAGTCGCAACTATGAGCAGTTGATGGCTAAGGCACACGGATACATGGACATAGAGGATGCCCGAGATTACAAGGTGTCAACCAGAGCTACAGAAACCTCCCCAGCCATAGCTTCAGCAGCACTAGTAATCCCAGCCACCTCGTTGACTCTAGCAGCAGCTCTGACGATGACACCTCGATGGTGGCACCGACACTAGAGTTGGCAAGAGGATCCCCTACAAGACAGGAGTGGCCAAGAGATCCTTCGAGAGTCGACTCTCGTCCCAATCGGTCCAATAGGAGGGACTGACAGATGGACCAGCTACCAAGGCTAGCCCTCACAGTCCTCAATACCTCCCTCGCCTCAGCCCTTTCCTTAGTTCAAAAGGAGGGTCACCTTAATGAGCCCACTCCTAAGATGAAGTCAAATCCCAAGAACCTCAACATGAAGGAGTTCTATCGGTATTACAAGGATCACGACCATCTCACCAATGATTGTCATATCCTTAAGAGGGATATTGAGGACTTGATTGAGAGAGGGTACTTGAAGAACCTCGTCTCTTGACGGGATCAAAGGGAAGCTGACCTAGCCAAGCAAGATAGGAGATCCCACTCGTGATCGCCTCGTCCTCGGCCGTGCCAAGACAGCCGACCCCCGGAGCCTAGCCACAAAGATGTCATCAACATGATCAGTGGTGGTCCTACTACTGAAGGGTCGTCCAACAATACCCAAAATAGATATGCCAAGAGGGAGTTGCGGGTCAACCAAGCTGACAAGAGGACGAAGGCAGAGGAGACCATATCTTTTGGGGACGCCAATCTACAAGGCGTTGAGACGCCTCATGACGACCCCATCATCATAACTATAATAGTTGATAGATATCAAGTGAAGCGAATCATGGTCGACATAGGGAGTTCAGTAGACATCTTGTATGTCGACGCCTTCAACCAGATGGATATCAACAAATCTCACCTACTTCCCTGTAGAGGACCCCTCATCGGGTTCACCGGCTACTCTATTTTGCTGGAAGGGATGATTACTCTCCCATTAACAGTGGGAGAGTATCCTAGGCAAGCCACCGCCCAAGTCCAGTTCTCGATGATGAATTTGAAGTCGACTCACAATGTCATCCTAGGCCGAACTGCCCTCCATCTATTATGGGCCATCCCTTAAACTTACCACCAGATGGTTAAGTTCCCGACTCCTAATGGAGTTGGAGTCACTAGGAGCAATCAGCGAGAGGTCAGGTCCTGCTATCTGCTCTCGACCAAGGGTAAGGGCACGCAAAACGTCATGCTCATTGAGAAAGACTGCCTCCAGTTGGAGAAAACAATAGAGCAGCAAAGGACTACACTGGTGGAAGAGCTTCAAGAGATGCCCATTGACCGAGAAGGATTCAAAATGGTCAAGATCGGGTCCAGTCTAGTCAAACCCTTGCAAGGAGCTTTGACCAAGTTCATGTAGGAAAACGCTGATGCATTCGCCTAGGATCCAGAGGACATGCCAGGGGTTCCCCCTGAAGTGATCAGCCATGAGCTGGCTGTCGACAGACATACCAAGCATGTTCGACAAAAGAAGAGATACCTCGGCCCAGAACGCCAAAAGGTAGCGCCTAATGAAGTCAAATGACTTCTTAAAGCTGGCTTCATCCGAGAAGTCTAATACCCAGAGTAGTTTACTATTGTATCGGTGAAGAAAGTGTTGAACAAATGAAGGATGTGCGTGGACTTCACCGACCTCAACAAAGATTAACCCAAGTATAGCTACCCTTTGCCTCGAATCGATCAGCTAGTCGATGAGAGTGCAGGGCATGAACTGCTCAGCTTCATGGACGCCTTCTTCGGCTACAACCAGATCTTTATGGCAGAGCATGATCAGGAGAAAGACCTTCTTCATCACTGATTTAGGTACTTACTGCTACAAGATGATGTCATTTGGTTTGAAGAACACTGGAGCTACATATCAGAAACTTATCAACAAGGTCTTCAAGCACCAGATCGGTCGTAATCTGGAAGCTTATGTGGACGACTTGCTGGTAAAGTTGAAGCAAGTGTCAACCCACATATCAGATATGGACAAGACCTCCTCCACTCTCCAGCGTTACTGAATGAAGCTCAATCCTGCTAAGTGTACCTTTGGGGTGCAATCGGGGAAGTTTTTGGGGTTCATGATCACCCATAGAGGCATAGAGATCAACCCCGAGAAGATAGTCACCATAGAGAGACTACCTGAGCTACGTACCTTGAAGGATATCCATAAGCTGAATGGAAAGATAGCGGCTCTAGGTCGATTCCTCTCCAAATCTTCCGAGAGGAGACTCCCATTCTTCAAGATGCTAAGGGGAAGCAAGAACTTAAAGGAAAGTATGACGTGGAAGGCTGAATGTAGTGCATCATTCCAGGATCTCAAGGCTTACTTGACTACTAAGCCACTGCTAAGCCAGCCTATAGGAGGAGAGATATTGTATTTATACATGATCGTCTCCTTTGAAGCAATCAACTCTGTCCTTATTTATGAAGAGGGAAATATTAGAAACCTATCTCCTGTGTGAGTCGGATCCTCAAAGCAGGCGAACTTAACTATCCCCTTATAGAGAAGGCTGCCTTTGCCCTCATCATCACTGCGAGGAGACTTCATCCATACTTTCAGGCTAATGCCATCATTGTACGGACAAGTTTTCCTCTGAAGAAAGCACTCGGCAGCCCCACAATATCTGGGAGGATGGTCACCTGGGTAATCAAACTCAGTGAACATGATGTCCAGTTCGAACCTAGAACAAGAATCAAAGCTCAAGCCTTGGTAGACTTCTTGATTGAATCAACTTCGCCAAGTGATGAACCAGCTACGTCCATACCGACAATTCAGCCAGCAGAGCTAGTACCTCTTGTAGTCCAAGCAACTGCTCCACAGATTTATCGCACCTTAGAGCATGATTTTCCCGAGTATACCTCATGGTGGTTATTAAAAGTGGACGGGTCCGCTGGAGAAGCCGACAACGGAGCGGGAGTAGTCTTGCAAAGCCTAAACGGGTCGACGTATGAACACTACATCTCCTTTGGCTTCTCGGCCTCAAACAATAAAGCCGAGTATGAAGCTCTTCTCGCCGGCCTTCGAGTGGCACAAGCATTGAAGGCAGAATGCCTCTACTATAAATAAGCAAGTGTTAATCACATTCAACTGGCTGACATGTGTCTCAAGCAGACTACATCCAACTCAACCTAGACAGTCTGAGATTAAAGGCATCCCTTCTAGACAGGCCGAGATAGGAGGCTGTCTTTCTTACCAGGCTAAGGCAAAAAGCATTCCTTCTCGCTAAGGTCGAGACAAAAGACGATCATTCTCAAACCCCTCACCGATAGTCAGTTACTATCACATTAAATACATGATCGGACACCGGCTTTAAAAGTCTTAATGACATGTCAGACCTCGTCATCAGTGTCACCATCACATTGATCACATAGGTGACTCATGCCACACGTAGCCCAACACATGTAAAATATTAGTTGAATAAGCTGATTGCTTAGACTCTGCTAAAATTACATGAACACCCTCGTTAGTTGGATATAAATAGGCATATCTTTACTGACCAAAGTTATGTAGTTTTTGTACACTTAGAGAGAACCATATCAATTCTGTGATCCCTTTCAGATCATGACTAACTTGATTGTTAGAGGAATCACTAAAGAACCCAAGTTTAATCCTCTAGTGTATTGCAGTTTTGCAGGACTCCCTACAAATCCGAGGATCAGCCATCAAAGGAGATCAAGGGACCCCGAGCTCCTTAGAATTAGCCATGAATCTCACTATTAAGCATCTATGCATTAAAAGTTTGACGCTCACCGTAGGACCTCTTTATCGCTTTTTGAGAAGTGGTCAATTCCTTGTCTTCAGACCTCGAAATTAGAAGCTTCCACTATTGCTTAAACGCTACAGTGACCAAGAAATTCCACCAAGGATCAAATGAAGAGCAAGACTAAATAAAAGGTAGGGTTGTCATAAAATGTAAAACATTTTGTATGATACCTCCACAAAATGTAGTTAAATTGTAAAGACCCTTTTGTAAATAAGAGATATTTTATATTGTGTACTAACCTGTATACAGCTCTTGCCACTTTATATTCATTGACTCGGAAATTAAGACACAAGACCTTGGTGTCATTTCGAGTAAATCCAATGCATGATGTCAAGTCGTCTCCAACTTGACCAACTCCGATACATAAGACTTTAGTACCTTGTCGGTATAAAACCAAGAAACGTCATCGACTCTAAGACTTTGATATCAATTTCATGGATAAGCCCAAGGCATGTACCTAAGACCTTGATATTGTTTTGAAGTAAACCCAGGCATGAAGTTCAATTTTATTTAGACTTGGCCACCTAAGTTCAAGCAAAAAGGGTCAATGTTATGCCATAGAAATAAGCAAGCATTAATCACATTCAACTGGCTGCATGGGTCTCAAGCAGACTACACCCAACTCGACTCAGACAGGCCAAGATGAAAAGCATCCCTTCTGGCCAAGCAAAGACTAGATGCATCCCTTCTCGTCAGGCCGAGGTGAAAAGCGTCCCTTCTCACCAGGCCAAGGCAAAAGGCGTCCCTTCTGGCCAGGCTAAGACAAAAGATAGTCATTCTCGAACCCCTCGTCGATAGCTAGTTGCTATTATATTAAATACATGGTTGGAGTCATCATTATACTAACACAAAAAGTCTTAATGACACATTGGACCTTGTCATCAGTGCCACAATCACATTAATCGTATAGGTTACTCATGCCACCCGTGTTTGAGTCGAAAGTTATTTTATTTATAGAATCTATTACACGTTTATTAATTACAATGAATTCAAAAGAGTTAA